GTTGCCAATGATAGATCACCAGCTGTGGCCCCAAACAAACAAATGTGTTCATCTTCTAAGGAAGATGGACTCTCAAATACCATTTAAGATATAGGCATGAAGAATAAGGGAGAAGGAACAATTCCCCAGAAGGCACAGTTGAGCAACAGAGAACAACAAATTCAGAAGGTCTTTCCAAAGTATAAGTAGGTATTAAGAAGGAATTCTCCTAGTCAGGATTGATGTTGCTATGGACTGTTGATTGTACCTGCATGTCTCCCACTTTTCTGATGGGAATTTTTTAATTAGGGGCTACTCCTGAAAACTCTTAAGTGCACAACTGAGAGTTCAGGGCTTTGGTCTAGGGATGCACTATCACTTGGCAAGGCAGAAGAGATGAGGAGGGCAGTGGAGTATATAGTGCCAGAGATTAAGCTCAGGAATCAAAGATGAAAGGCATGTACTCTATCACCTGAGAAAACTCTCTGAATTAGAGTTTTCATTGCTATATGAATTTATTGTATGGGGAATAAAACCAGCAAACCCTTTTCCAAGTGATTCAGGAGATAGATATCATCTACATATTCTTCCCTATGGTGAGTATTATCCTCTCCCCACTACACCCCCCCCAAAAAAAAAGACGAGGGACAAGAAACATAGTACAAGAATTCCTTGTACGTGGCTGACTCAAGTTCAATGTCCAGCATGTCATATGACCCACTAAACCTCACCAGAAATGATTACTGAGCACGGAGTCAAGAGTAGGTCATGAGTACTACTTTGTGTGACCTAAAAACCAACACACACATACACACACACTCATACACACACACACACACACAGAGAAATATGAGATCAGACAGCAGCCATATGGGGGAAAAGTAAAGACAAGAAGCACAGAGCCTGATGAAAAGCTCGTCAGTGGCAATTCAGCACCAGCAAAAATCTAGTTTCTCAGATGATGACTTCACCTTAAACTTCAAGAGAAACATTCCTGTTTGTACTAATGGTGAGGTACATGGTGAAGAGGGATTTAGGCCAAATCCCCTGAACTTGATCAATTCAGAAGAATAGAAGAGACAAGACTAGCCTGAGAATGAGACAGGCAAGCGAGATTTCCAGGAAACATTCATCTTGGGCAACAGGAAGGAGGAGTATGAGGTTCCTGCCCCTCCCTTCACTCCTCAGCCCTGCCCCACCGAAACGCTGGGTCAGAACTGCCAGGTTGTCTGGGATCAAGTATTTTTATATAAAGATGTAAGACCACAAAACATACAAAGTGTCTATTTTAAAAGCATAAAAAGAGGAGTAAAATCTACCAATGGATGAGCCATTTAGCAGAAAAACGTTTCCCCAGCCAGACAAAAATTCTTACCAGCTATGAAGTAATCAGCTCTAAGAACCTTCATGGAGAAACCACAAAGAATAAATGCAAGAAATTAAGACAATTAGGAAAAAAAGATTACACATGAAGATACAATGTGAGCTAATAGAATTCCTGGAAGAAACAGAAAGGACTGATGATCACAAAACTGAAAATCAGATTGCAAGAAAAACAGCAGAATACACTCTGCAACAACACAACACACACACACAAAAGAACAGAGAAGATAGAATGAACGTAGTGAAAAAGCAAAGTTGACAAGTTTTAAAAAAAAAGCTGGAGAGATGGCACTTAGGGTTGGAGTGTGCGCTTTGCTTGCAGGAGCCCCAGATTCAGTCCCTAGCACCTCCTCTGACCACAGCACCAGGAATAGTCCCTAAGCACCACTAAACATGACCTAAAAAAAACAAGTTAGAAAGTAATAAAGAGAATAGCATATATGTAGAATAACACAAAGAAGGTGGGCTATTTGGAATTCCCAAAGAACAAAACCAAAAGAGCAGACAAAGTACTTAAAGATGACAATCAACTGGGAGGAGTGGAGGACCATGTGGCCCTGAATTCAATCCTCAACACTACATGTACTTCTGGGTCCAGTGTCACTGAGAATGGCCTCTGTTCTCACAACACTGAAGGGTAGTGTCTTGGATAAAGAACCTTCCTTAAATTAAAGCAAATCCTGGCAGTGTCATCAAAGGAAAAATAAAGGTGGTGAGCAAAAAGATCAAGTCATATATCAAAGGGGAGAAACATGGGTCATCAGCATAAACATTGGAAGAAACTGGAGACGCACCTACACAATTCATTTCTTGTCAAACTATCCTCTGAGTGCTACTTGAAACAACTGAAGAGCTCAGGGACTATTGCTACCAAGAGTCATTTTTTGAAGGGGACTTTGCAAACTCAGGAAGTCTGGGGGTTTTACTAAAAAAGAGGCAGGTTGATAGTTTACTATAACAAACTCTATATGAATGTTTTGGCTTTATCATATGCAACTTCAGTATTTTAAAAGAGAAATTTGACTGAGGTCTTAGCTAGTACAGAGGTTAAGGTACTTGCCTTTTATGCAGCCAATACTGTTTTGATCTCCACAGCACACAGTCTCCCAGGCAATGTCATGTGTGGACCAAAAACCTAATCAATCAATTAATGTTCAGGCTTGGCAACGCAACCCAGTGAGCTGGAGTCACCAGGGTCACATCCAGCAGTGTTTAGGGGCTTCCAGTACCACACCCAGTGATACTTACAGGGTTATTTGGTGCCAGAGACAAACTCAGGTCCCTTATCGTACAAGGCACATGACCCTGACCACTGAATGATCTCCCTGCAAGAAGTGTTCTTAAGGCAACTAGTGGAAAGTAAATTTCAGTCAAGTAAATAATGGTGAGGAAACCCATGCTCAAAAGACTAGAAAGGAACACTGATGGTATCTAACTGTAGAAGCATCACCAAAACCAATGCAAATAGAAGATGAATTATATACCCCAGCATTAGAGACTGATACAAGGAATATTTGTCAGCAAAAAGATGAAAAGAAGTTGAGATGCTAAGCTCATTGACTGCATTATATATATTGACTGAGAGCTTAATGTTATTATGATTGATAGCTTGGAGGGTTTTTTGGTAGGGGGTGCTCGGAGGGTTTTTTTGGGTTTTTTCCTTGCTTATTTGTTTGTTGAGGTCACACTGGGTGATGCTCAGGACACTCCTTGTTCTGTGCTCAGAACTGAATTCTGGTTGTGCTCAAGGGACCATATGAACTGAGGGGGATATGAACCAGCATCAGCTGTGTGCAAAAAAATATCACCCTATCTCCTGTGTTATCTCTTCAGCCACTGAGAGTTATATTTCAGTGTGAGAAAATCATGTACTGGAAACATAAGCCTACTTACGTATTTGAGAGTAAGTAAAGGATTGTTGACTAAGCTTATGCAATGGAGAAGGGAACTAATAATGCATCTTAAGCACATAAGATCAGCGGTAAAGACCAGAGTTGTCGTTAAAATAATATAAGTGGTATTTTTAGTCTCAGTAAATTGCCCTGAGCATATAGGGGGGGAGGAAAAGAGAGTTTCTACACTATAGCAGGGAAAAGAAAGAGAGCTTGTACATCATCTTCTGATGTGGAAAGTTGAGAAACAAACTGAAATTTCAGAAAATGGAGTAGCATGTATGATATTTAATGATAAGAAAAGGGATATCATAACTACCAAAGCAAACCTCCTTGGAGAACTGAACAAGGAGAAAAGAGGCAGGTTGATAGTTTACTATAACAAACTCTATATGAATGTTTTGTCTTTATCATATGTAACTTCAGTATGTTAAAAGAGAAATTTGACTGAGGTCTTAGCTAGTACAGAGGTTAAGGCACTTGCCTTTTATGCAGTCTATACTTTTTTGATCTCCACAACACACAGTCTCCCAGGCAATATCATGTGTGGACCAAAAATCCAAAAATTTTTTTATAGCCCATAATTAAATGCAGTCATTCTATATCTGTCTCTCTCCTTCTGACTCATTTCACTCAGCATATACTCTCAATGTCCATCCATTTATAGGCAAATTTCATGACCTCATTTTTCCTAGCAGCTGTGTAGTATTCCATTGTGTAGATGTACCATTATTTCTTTATCCAGTCATCTGTTCTCAGACACTCAGGTTGTTTCCAGATTCTAGTTACTGTGAAACTAATATCCAAGGCAAGGGAAAACGAGCCAGGAAGACTAGTCAATGGTTAGAAATGACCACAAAAGTGTGGGGATTAGAGAGTAGTTAAGATAGAGGAGAGTCCATTCTGACATCAGTCGGAAATGATCACTCTGGACAAGAACTTAGTGTTTGAAAGTAGGTAAAAGGATATATATGATAAGCTTTCAGCATATGTATTGCAAATTGTAATGCTTAAAATGAGAAAGAGAAAGAGAGAGAAGAGAGGTGCCTGCCATAAAGGCAGACTGGGGATGGGGGCGTTATATGGGGGGGAGAGGGAAATGGTGATCATTGGTGCTGGGAAATTACACTGGTGGAGGGATGGATGTTGGAATGTTGTATAACTGAAACCAAATCATGAACAGTTTTGTAATGCTCTATCTCACGGTGATTCAATAAAAATTAAAATTAATATTAAAAAACCCAAATATTACTTAATTATGTACTTAAAATGAATTTGAGGTACTGAAGAGACAGCACAGAAATTCAAGTGCTTGCTAAGCCCAGTTCAATGCCTGGCTGCATAGTCGGCAAGTGCTTACCAGAGTAGCCCTGAGTACTAGTAGGTATGTACTACTACATACACCAATGTAGTATTACTACAAAAAACAAAGAAAATGTAAGAACAAGAAATTCAACTCAGCTGAGTCAATTGAGCTTAACTCACCAATTCCTAATGTGTATTTTCACTCTAACCTTAAACCTTAAAGTAGTTCTTTCAAACTAAAGTCTCCCTTGCTTTTCTCTTTGAAAAGCGAAATGCTTGCTTCTGCTCTGTCTTTTATTAAAAACCACAACTACTGCATCCACAGTGTTTCATAAGCCTCTGAATCTCAAGTTGCTGTGGATTCTGAGGACAAACTCTTGGCAAAGTGTCAAGACTCAGGATGGCCTGCAGAGGAAAAGATATTAGCAAACAAATGGATACCTATGGTGGTGATGACAGTCCCAGCAAAGAAAAAGGCACTTCCAAGGTCCCAGTGACTGCTGTTGTTGGAAGAATTTCCTACTGGACTTACTCCTGCATTGTCAGCGTCAAGGGCATGCTGCAAAAAAAAAAAAAGTGAGAAAGCAGAGAGTCCATTAAAAGGGGAAAGAAAAATTGAATTACATCCCTGCTCAAGAAACTGCAATGATCTGAACAGGAGTGGTTAATTGCCTGAGGGTACAGTCATAAAGTGAAACACTGTGCATCCACTTATTCAAAAAGAAAACTAAGTGAGAGGTCAGAGAGTTCCTAGTCTAAGCCTCAGTCATCACAGGAGTTAGAAATAGCCCCTGCATACTGCCAGGAGTAGCCCTAAACAAACCAAAAGAGAAAATTAAGTGAGAGAAGGAAAAAAAATAAGTAACATGGGGCATTAATACAAAAGTTTTAGGCACAGATTCAGGTGATGAGGCACAGATTGTATAAATTGCATATACATTTCAGTTTCTAACATAGAAAGATATCTAAGACAGTTGCCCAAAGTGGTCATTTCTAGGAGGCATTTTTCCATTGCTTTCACTCTTCTCTTTTGTGATAATGTTTCTCATTGTTTTGGAAGTGCAGGGGTCATAAGAACTCTATCCAATCATTCAGGGTCTATTCAATCACTCTGGCTCTGCCCATGATTACCTTCAGAACTTGGGACAAGTTATTGTAACCTCACTAAGCCCAAACTTCCTTATTTGGATAAAATTGGGAGGACTTAACCAGATGATCCATGGGACACTTGGAGTTCAATGTCCAGTACTGAGTTAGGGATTCAGAAATAGTGGCCAATTTCATGCCTGTCATTTCACTCCATGCCCCCCCAACACACGCACGCGCGCGCGCGCGCACACACACACACACACACACACACACACACACACACACACTGTTAGGACCCTCTTAGCTGGAGAACTGCCATGACAGGCTTTGTGGCCTCTGAGTGACTAGGCCTCTTTCAGGAACAAGAAACAAGCTCATTTCTGGTAAACAAGGGTGGAGGGTCACAACGTGTTAATGCAGAAAAAACCAGATGCTTTTGTCAAAGATTAGGTCTCCGGAAGGTAACTATTAGGAAGTGGGCTTGGTGTTGCAGACCAAAACAACAACAAAAAATATGTACTCTACTCATGGTGTCTCACTAGTAAAAATTTTTTTTTAAAATGTACTCTATAGGTAATAGAAACTTGCTGAGTAATGCCTACTTGCTAAAATGAAAGTATAAGAACTTGCTGAATCTAGTGCTCGGGTTCCTTGTTGAAACCCACTGTGCAGGACAGATACTTGGACCCCAGCTAGCTGGAACAATAAACCTCTCAATGTGATTTGCATTATCGGCTCTGTTCTCTGTCCTTGAGGGGTGATCGACTCCAGATCCTAACAACACACACACACACACACACACATACACACACACACATACACGCACGCACGCACGCATGCACACACTCCTATCCTTTGTTTAAAAAACTAACTATAATAACTTTTCACACGTTTCCTGATTTGGAGTTCACATACCTTAAAATTCCCTACAAATGAAGATTCAATCCCATCTGACACACTATAATAGAAGCCTCCATCCCAGGCAGTTCCCTGAAATGATCATGGTGCATCCTTATACCATTGTTCATGCCTCCTCCAAATGCGCCCTTCCCCTAGATCCAGCTCCTGGGAAGCATGTGCAGATTATCATGAGAATCCTTTAGCGTTCCTCCCTGCACTGGCCCCCACCAACCCCTGTCAGGCCAAGGCAGAGAGAGCAGGAAGCACTGTCTTAGCAGCTCAGCCACACACTGTTCAAACAGGTGAGCTCTAGGAGGGAACAGATGCAGGGTTCAGAGAGAAGTGACAGGCCAGCTGCTTCCGGAGCAACATCAAGAGACTCCATTCCCCGGACAAAGTTACACTAACCCAATGTTGGGGTAGCAAGACTTGCTTAAAAGTTGATATCTGGTTACAGTTATCCTAAATAACACCTATGAAGCTCAATTAAAATAGGCCTGTAGTAATTTCCACAGATCAGACTGCAAGAGATAAAAAGTCAGTCATTGTCACTGCATTATCTCCATAAATGTGGAGTATTTCAAAATCCCTAAACCAAATGTGAGTAATCTTCTACCATAAAGGATCATACTAGAAATGTTTTAGGATCTGGAAACCATCAGTGGTCTTAATCACATATTCTTTGCTTTCTTTTTTTTCTTTTTGGGTAATACCCAGAAACATTCAGGGGTTACTCCTGGTTCTGCACTTAGCAGGTGCAGAACTCCTAGCAGTGCTCAGGGGACTATATGGGATGCTGGGAATCGAACCCGGGCCGGCTGCATACAAGGCAAATGCTCTACCCGCTGTGCTATTGCTCCAGCCACTTATTCTTATACAACTTTTTGAATAGGTCTAAACCATCTTAGGACACAGGTTATACAGAAATAGGAGACTTAACTAATTAGACAACAAGGAGGAAAAAATCACTTTGGGGCCAGGGAAACAGATAGAGGTTAAAGCACTTGCTTTGCATACATGACATCCCCCCAAGCATAGAGATGTGAATAGTCCCTGAACTCAGCTGGATATGGCTCTCCCAGCCCCCACCCATGCCTGAAAAATCACTTCTGTTAAATCTTTAGTTTGTTCATTTCCTTCTCTAAGAACATAAATACAGTCCAGTGCTTCCAACATAAATCCTGACACAGAGAATCCAGCTTCCCAGAGAATGTACAGGTTGTTTTGCCAATGGTTTAAATTGGCTTAATTAACCACAATGGCTTATTCATCAGGGGATATGCTCCGTTCTGCAGAAGAGGGAAGGACAGATGGTCAGTCCTTTCAGCTGATAAAAATGACCATTTCACTGTGCTGCCTGAACGCCACCAAAGCAAACCATAAGCTGAAACTCAGCTTTCTATCCTCTCTGCCTTTCTGCTCTGCCGAACCCACCTGGAAATAATGACTTGGGGATAGTTCTAGACATCAGTCACTTAGAAGGCTTCAAGCCACACCCTCTATTTCTAATATTTATAACTTCCTTAACACTGCAGACTTTGAGTCGGGTCAAGCGTCATTGTGCTGAGGGCGGCACAGAAGTATTCTAATCAGAACCAGTACAGCACTTGCAATTACAGAATTGCGGCAAAGGCAAAAGAGACGGTGACATCTATTTTGCCAAAAAAAAAAAAAACCTAAAGATTTTTTTAATTATGCAATTTATAAATATGTCACACTGACATTTGGACTCTCCAGAAAAAGTGTTCCTCCATGGAAAGAATGGGAAACTAAAATATAACAAGTCAGTTCTTGTGTGACAAAATACTGGAGTGTTCTACCCTTTGAACCTTCCCACAACTAGTGCACTATCTAATTTTATCCTATCTACAACTTGCAAGAAAGTCAAGGCACCCTCACTTTAGAGAGAAGGAAACAGGCTTAGAGGCGTTCATAAGTTGCCTAAGACCAAATAGCCAGGAAATAAAAATTCAAACCTAGACTGATTGGCAGAGAGCCCTGGTGTTGCTCCTTGCTCTCCCTATGGCATCTCAAACATACTCCTCTTCCCACACCCAATATTTGCTTCCAGGTAGGGATGATGAGGAAAGACTGACATTTTCCTGAAGAGATCACTTATTTTTTTTTTTTGTAGTGCTTTTTTTTTTGGCTCTGTTTTTTTTTCCCTTTATTTTATTTTTTTTTAAAGTTGTAGATTTACAATTTTTTGTGCTTTGGTTTCAATTATACAATGATCAGATACCCATCCCTCCACCAGTGCCCATTTTCCACCACCATGGATAATATCCCTCCCACCTCCATCCCCCCATCCCCCCTGTCTCTGTGGCAGGGCAATCCCCTGTGTTCTCTCTCTCCTTTTGGGTGTTGTGGTCTGCAAAAGAGGCATTGAGTGGCAAACATGTTCAGTCCATAGTCTACTTTCGACATGCATCTCCCCTCCTGGGAGGATCCTCCAAACATCCTTTATTTGGTGCTCCCTTCTCTATCTGAACTGCCCTTTCCTCTAGGATACCAGGCTGGCCTCTAAGTTATGGAGTAATCCTCCTGGTGCTGGAGATCACTTATTTTTAAAAAACTTTTCTTGTATAAAGAAAAAAAAGTTTTACTTTTTTGTTTAATGTAGGCACCATGATTTACAAAATTGTTGAGAACAGAGTTTCAGGCAAACAATGTTTCAACTGCAATTCTACAACCAGTGTCAACTTCCCTCCAACAATGACCCAAAGTTCCCTCCCACCTACCCCCAACCTGTCTCCTTGATAGACACATTTTTAAGTTAAATTATTATATAAAAGAGCTAGTATCCAAGACATATAAAGCACTCACAAGGACCAACAATAAAAATGGAGAGTGTAGATTAATTAATAAAATCACTGTCACTGTCACTGTCCTCCCATTGATCATAGATTTGCTTGAGCAGGCACCAGTAATGTCTCCATTGTGAAACTTGTTGTTACTGTTTTTGGCATATCAAATATGCCACAGGGAGCTTGCCAGGCTCTGCCATGCAGGTAGGATACTCTCGGTAGCTTGCCAGGCTCTCTAAGAGGGACAGAGGAATCAAACCTGGGTCGGCTGCATACAAGGCAAATGCCCTACCCACTATACTATCACTCCAGACCAAACAAAAACCATTCCCTCTAATTAGTGTTTCCCTCCAATTTGTGAAATAGAGACACCAAACTTCATTAGTTTCTCAGAGCTGAAGAGAGCTTAAATGCATTACACGTGAAGTAAAACAATTAAACATATAAACAAAACATGGGAAAAGGTTGATTTCATACCCTGAGAGGGAAGAAGCAAAGAGACAGAAGACCTGAAAAAGGGAAGAAAAGGTGAGGTCTGGGTCATGAAAGAGTGCCATGCCCAGCTGCTGAACTGCCTGGGACTTCTGGCAAACAAGTGTCCAGCTTCAATTTGTATCACATCTATCACATCTCTGTTCCTTCCAGAGGAAGTAAAGTGGGCCATCAGTAACGTTTATCAGTAAAGTGGGCCATCCATGCAAATTCTGGGGGAAAGCAGTTTTGTGAAACTTAAGTAGAAGGGATCTTATAGGCATAATGAGAC